TGGGGCACAGCCACTGCAGGGAGCAGTGGTGGCGCCGTGGCCGAGCAGGCTGAGGAGCACAGCAGCTGTGGAGCTCAGAGGAGGCGCCTGGCTGAGGAGCAGCAGAGGCAAAAGGCAGTCTGTGGAAGGCCACAGAGGTCTGTGACGCGGCCACGGGCCACACACGCCCCTGCTCCCAGGCAGGGTGGCCGGTGCGGGGCAGAGCCTGTCCTGGGCCTCAGCTCCCGCGCGGGCTCTGTGGGAGGACCCTGACCTTCTTCAGCTCCAGGATGAAGTCGTCCACCAGGGTCTTGACCTGCTGAGCGCGGGCTGAGAAGAGGATGACCTTCTCGCTGGCCAGGTTGAACTCCAGCATGTTCCGGGAGGGGATGGTCACAAACAGGATGTCCGCAAAGCTGGGGGACAGGCGCGTGAGGGCAGGGCCTGTGGCCAGGGGACGCCCTCTCCCCAGCCATCCTGCTCCTTGGCCCCGCCCTGTCACTCCGTGGCTGCCGAGAACTCAGCAGGTCTCTCCCTGGGCCCCTTCCCCTTCCAGGCGCATGGGCACGTGGCTGCGGACCACACCGTCCAACCACAGTGAGCTCCGTGGGGCAGGGCTGGGTGTGGTCTGGGGGCAGGATGGCTAGCGGGTTCCCAGCTCATCTACTTCCTAGCTGTGAGCCTGAGCCAAGCACCTCCCTCCCTGAGCCCAGGTCCCCGTCTCTAAAATGGGCTGGGTTCAAGGGCTGGGCACCATGTTGGTGCTCGGAGAGACAGTGAGGAAATGCTGATGCCAGTCTGTGCCCCAGTGTCCGGCAAGCCCCGTTTTCACCCCCTGCCGGCACCTGTACGTGCGCAGGACACGCAGCTGCCCGCTGGCCTCCCGGCTGCCCCTGGCCATCTGCAGGAGCTTGATGCCTGTGTGGGACACAGCTAGGATCTGCACGCCCGTGCCCACGCTGCCCTGGGTGGGGACAAGGACACGTCAGCCTTGCCCTAAGCCCCGGGCTGGGCGGGTGGGCAGGCTGGCAGCGGCTCGCACCGTGGCGGGGAAGAGGCGGGAGAAGTAGACCTCCCAGCTGTCGCGTGCGGTGTTGACCACAGCCCGCTTCACGCTCTCCGTCACCAGCGGCCTCTGCGTGTCCAGCTGGCTCTGGGCTGAGGGATGCAGGGGCGTCAGGAGCCTCCCCGCCCTGTGCAGGCCCCGCTGCAGGGAGGGAGCCCGACTCCGCAGACGGCAGGGGAAGCCAGGATCCGAGGCAGACAGACGGCCCGGCCCCCCAGCCGGTCAGGTAGAGCTGACGCAGACTTGTCACCTGGCCATGGTAGAGCCTAGCAGCTAAGCAAGGAGGGGTGTCTGGGAGGTGAGTGGGGCGGGGCTCATCCCTCCCCCACTCCCTGCGGTACCAAATAGAGCCTTCATCTTGAGCCTCTCGTCCTCGGAGATGCGCACGCAGGCCTCGGAGAGTGTGTCATGCAGGATCTGCGGGAATGAGCTGAGCTGTGATGCGGGTGGCCCGAGGGACTCCCCCACCTGGGAGCCCAGGCTGGGGTTCCCTGTGTGCAGCTGGGGTCCTCTGGGTAAATCAGATCCCGCTCACAAAGACCCTCTCCTTTCTCCTTCCCTCCAGGTCATGCCACCCCTCCCGGCCTTGGTGCCCTCATCTATACAATGGGTCTATCTATCTCAGACAAACCACGAGCCTGGTCAGATGGGACTGTGGGCTTGTGACCCTAACCATGGGAATAGGGGTGCAGTAGAACAGCTTCCCATCCACACCATGGTCAAGGAGCCCAACTCTGGGTGCAGCAGCAGAATTTGCCCTGCTGAGTACACTGAGGCAGAAAGGGAAGAGAGGCCCTCACCTGCCGGAACAGGAGGTCCAGCTGCACGGGGTGGCTGTAGCTGTCCTTTGGGTAAAACACCTGTGGGGGTGGGGCTTCAGTGAGGACCTCCAAAGGCCCCTCACTTCGCTTCACACCTGGACCCGCCCCCAGGTGCAGCCCCGCCCTGGAGCAGCAGGTGCCTAGCTCAGCTCCACCCTGGCCTGCTTCTCCAATCGGGGTGTCCCCTCTGCCCCGTCAGCCCCTCCCCCGCCCCGGCACCTCTTTGCGCAGGAAGATCTGCCAGGGGGTGTCCTGGTAGCCATAGAAACTGGGGTTGGGGAGGCGGTGCAGCTGTGTCTGCACTGGGTCCTCGGCGGGCTCCAGCGACCTCGAGGGCAGCGCTGGGGAGCACAGCAATCGCAGGCGTGAGGGGAGGCAGTAGAGTGGCAGCCCACACCCTTGGCCACAGACACACCTGATCACACGCATGCAGAACGCTGCTACAGCCCAACCGGCCCTCGGCACATACTAGTAAACAGGCACCCAGTGTGTGCAGGCCTATGCCAGGGGCCGAGGGTGTCGCAAGGCGCCTGCCTTGACTTAGAGTCTCCTGGCAGATGTGGGTGAAACAGACCATTTGAAATGACGAAACTCTTCGTGCTAGGAGCTATGAGGTGGAAATAAAACGGGGTGATTTAGGGAAGGTCTGTGAGGGTCCTTGGTCCGGGTGGGCTGGCAGATCTCTCTGAGGAGGTGACATGGGAGACCTCGGTAAGAAGAAGGGGCAGGCAGGCAAAGATGTTGGGGGCAGAGCACTCAGGCAGGAGCGGCGGGGCAGGGAGTGAGGCAGGAGTGACTGGTGTGCCCCAGGAACACCGAGGGACAGAGGGCCAAGGGCAGGTGGGGGCGGCAAGGCTGGGAGTGGGCAGATCTCAGGCCAGGGAGGAGCCGCTGGAGCGGGTGCCAGGAACTCGGGGTGAGTTGATTTCTCTCTCTTAAGGTCACTGTGGCTACGTGAGGCAAACGATGTAGAGGTGAGGGCTCCAACTGTGATGTCAGAGGCCTGGATGTAGACCCCTGGTCTAACACCTTTCAGCTGTGTGATCGTGGCAAGTCATTTAAGCTCTCTGGGCCTGTCTCCCCACCTGTAACACCTGTCGGTACAGATGGTCCTGTGTCCAGGGTGTAGTGCAGACAGTAAGGTCAGGGTGTGGGCCTGGCCTGGATCAGTGTCATTTAAGTGCTGACGTAATTGTACAGATGTGCACACAATATGTCCACACGGGCTCGGGACATGGACACGCATGCCACGGACATGCAGACACACACCTGTGCTCACACAGACTGACTTATACACGTGGACACCTGCCCTCTGTCCCTCCCTCCCTCCCTCTCTCCTGGCTCCTCACCTGGAGTGGGTCGCATGGATGGCCTTGGAGCGCTGGTCACTGGCTTCACCAGGGCCACGGCCTCCCTGGGCACCTGCCCCACCCCAAAGAGAGTATTCAGGGGGCGCAGGGCCGGGGAGGAAGCAGCAGCAGGGCCATGCCTTTTAGGGGCGGCTGGTTTCCGAGGCTCCCTGGAGGCCCCCGTTTTCCATTCTGCCTGGGCACGGCCAGCCCCTGCCCTCACCTGCGTGCCAGGTGCTGCCGCCAGGTGGCTCATCTGGCCCTTCAGGATCATCAGGGCCTCCTCGTGGGGGTCTGGCCGCTTCACGAACACCCTCCCGCAGTCCTTCCTGGGGGGGTGGACACCGAGTTCCTCTCCCCATCACAAGCCCCGAGAGGAAGGACCCTCTCCGCCACCCCGTCATTGTCAATGAGAACCCACAGGTTCTCACAGCCCAGCCTAGAAAGCAGCCTGGGCCGCCCTCTGCCCGGGAGGGGGTGCTGGGGAGCATCTGCATAAACAGGCTGCTCCCGTCACATGGCTGGCACCATGGCTGGCACCGGGCCCAGGGAGGAGGCAGCTGCCTGCAGGCCGGGGCAGAGCTGACCTGAGGGCCTTGGGCTGGCCCCCCTGGGGCGGCTGCTGGTACTGCCTGACGATGTTCTTGATCTGCTGCGTGGGCTGCGGGAAGTGCTCCGAGTTGAGTGTGGAGTACCGGACCAGCTCGGGGCAGGGCAAAGCTGTGGGCCAGGGGGCGGAGTGAGACCACACCTCCCAGTCCATCCTGGGAGGCCGCCCCCACCAGCCCAGCAGGGACAGGACACTCACTGGTTTCTGGAGAAGACCGATCCTGAGCTAGAATGGGGGCGGCCACAGGCTTGGTGGGGGGCCTGGGGGCCTTGGCCGGAGGGGCGGGGGTCAGGGGCTTTGGAGTGGAGCGCAGGAGCACAGGCTTGGCGGGGGGTCCAGTGCCCGCGAGCTTTGGCCGTGCCTCGGGGGCTTGGGGCTTCTGCAGAGAGCAGGGTGTGAGGTGAGCTCCCGGGGACACACCAGCTTGCTCTCTGGGCCCCGTGTCTGCCCAGGACGGTGTGGGGTCCAGGCTCCGCGAGGTGCGACCATGCCCTGGGCAGGCCAGGCTCACCTCCGGGGGGAAGGGCCTTGGGGCAGGACTCAGGGGCTGCTGCTGGAGGGCCATGGCCTGCAGGGTCATCTCTCTGGCCTGAGGAGAGGTGGGGTGTAACCAGGCAGGCCCGCTCCAGGCACCCCCCTCCCAGGCCCCTCGCACGCACCAGCAGCACGGCCTGTTTGTGGATGAAAGCTTGCTGCAGAGCCAATGTGGAGGCGTCCAGGCCTGGGACTTCCGGGAGCCGGGCAGAGGGCGCAGATCCCAAGGCGTAGGAGGTGAGGGAAACGGGAATTTCCTACCACCTGCCCCCTTGCCTCCCCTCCACCCTGCCCGTGGCCGCCTCCATGTTAGCACGGGAGGGAGCCCGGAGAACCAGCGGACCCAGCCTTGCCCAACCCTAGAACCAACCCTGGGCAGGCACTCACTTGGCTTTGGCTCTGGGGGTCTCTTGGGAGTGTCTTCGGTGCTGCTACTGCCACCGCCACCAGGCTGGCCTCCCCCTTTCATGCGATAGGCAATGGCTGTCGGCTTCTCCAGGTCCTGGGGGCAGCAGGTGGCTCGAGTGGCTGCCTCCGTGCTGGCTGCCCCCGGTTCCAAGGCAACGGGCACCTGACACCAGCCTCCTCCTCCATCCCAGGGGCCTCCCACTGGCCAAGCGTCTGCTGTGTGCCCAGCCTCTGCCCTCACGCACACACTCAGTCCTCCCACCACCTTGCAAGCTCCCAAGTGACCACCCCTTTCACGGAGTAAAATGAGGCTCAAAGAGGGGCTATGCCCTGCTCAGGGCTACACATCATGCCCCGAGGGGCTCCTGGGAGTTCTCAGCGTGAGCAGGGTGCCTGAGGGGGCTGGATCCCACAGGACACGGGAGGTCTGAGCCTCTATCCAGGGGCGTCTCTAGCCAAGAGGACACCCTCCTCCTTTGCTGGGTCCCCATGACACCCCATGGCCCGGCTGTGTCCCCCGTGGATGTGTGTGACTTGGTATGTGCACGCCATGCCTGCTGCCTGCGAACACCCCAGCCATCCCTACCGCATCCCCGCACGACAGCACGGGGTCGAAGAGGCTGTCCAGGTAGCAGTCCAGGCCCTTGTGGGACACAGCAGGCTCTCCAGGGCTGTCGAGGCCTGGCAGGGGGGACACATCACGTTCTCTCCTGCTGATGCCCCCCCCGCCAGCCCCAGGGCCTTCCCCACCAGAGACAGCGGCCCTGCTGGCCGACCTGGATGGGTTGTTGTACCTCTCTGGGCCTCAGTCTCCCCATCTGTGCTGTCCTCATGGTGGCTGCAGTACCCATTGGCGTCAGCCACGTTGGGCATGTGCCCCCGTGGTTGGGGCCTAGTGGGCGTGTCCTCATCTGAGTCCCAGCTGTTCCCAAACACCCTGTGGGTAAGGGGAACATGGAGCATCTGATCCCAGAGAGACCCACGGCCTCCCAGACCACCCCCACCCCCACCCCCTTCCACCCAATCTCCTCTGCACAGGACTCTGGAATTGAGTGACTGTCTCTTTAAAGGCGGGACCCTTTGGTCAGCCCCACCTCCATGAGAACCTTGAAGCTTAAGTCCAGACCTCAGTCTCTCTCTGCAGCCAGAAGGGCAGTTCTGTGCTGAGAGGCCACCTGTGGGGGCCCAGGTAGCCACCTACGCTCTCGGGCCTCCTCTGCCGGCCACGGGCCCTTCTGCACCCACAATGAAGTAGGACTTCTGCCGTGGGAAGTCCCTGAGCAGCTCCAGGTCTGACACCAGGTCCAGCACGTAGTCGTGGCCGGCCAGCTCCGCCCACTGGGCCCCGTTCTTCATGGCCACCGTCCAGCCCCGCCAGCCGTCCGCCAGCCCCCTGGGGACAGCGTACGAAGGGACATGAAGGAGGGACGAAGCCAAGAGGTACCACTTGGGGAGACTCTGGGATAGGAGCGGACCCCAGCATGCCCAGGGGGGACCCCGGGGGGTTGGAGAATCTGGCCTCCTGCCCCTCCCTCCCCTCTTCCCAGGTGCACAGGTGAGCGGGGCAGGGCGTGCAGGAGCCGACCTGTGCCTCAGGATGTCTCCGGCCAGCTCCTCCCCCGTGCTCCAGGAGTGTACCGGGCAGGAGAACTGGTCGCCTGGACAAGAGCAGGCGCAGCTCAGCCTGGGAGGTCGGCAGCTGGCCCCGCTCTGCTGCTTCCTGCCTGCTGCCTGCACTCAGGCCTCTCACTCTTGCCCAGGGTCCTGGGTCTGAGTCTTCTGCCCCGGCTCCTCTCCCACATTCCAGGTCCACCCCCCATGCACACCAAGCCCTCCTTCCAGGGCCACGCCCAGCAGGCACCCCTCTCCGGCTTCTCCTGGCCCAGGGCAGAGGCCTGAAGGAGGGAAGGCAGCGGGGCGGGGCGGGCAGCTCACCGTTGAAGCAGCCCACATCCAAAGCCATGCTGGCCTTCTCCTGTGCTGCTGTCCACTCGAGCCGGGTCGGAGGGAAGGTGCGGGCAGCCCCAGGGCCCTGCTGCTGGGCCCGGCCCATGGCCTGCATGAGGCGATGCTGACACACGGCCTGGAAGCCATTCCGCCCGTAATCAGACACAAACCTAGCGGGTGGGAGTGAGAGCCAGGATGCGAGGAGCTGAGGCTAGCCCCGGTCGGGGAAGATTCCACAGCCAGTTTAAGGGAGGCCCAGGCTAGCCAGAGCTTTAAGGTGAGAATGAGAAGGCCAGGCTACCCCAGAGCTCCCAGGCTAGGCTGAAAAAGAAGGGTGCCAGGCTAGCCCCAAAGTATTTCAAACCAGCAGAGTTATACAGCCGAAGAGGCCCAGGACGGCCCAGCTAAGCGGTCGGAGCGAAATGTCACTGACAGGGTGGGGTCTGCAGCACTCTGTGGGCAGGAGAGGGACTCCGAGGGGCGCTCCCCCACTTCCACCCGGACCCCAGCTGCACCAGCCCTGAGTCTGCTGCCAGGTTCTCACCCATCCTGAGACGGCTGTGAGGTTTCAACCTGGCCCAGGACCCCCGAGCTGACCTGCCGGCCGCAGGCATTCCGCATGCCTGGCTCCACTCCCAACTGCTGGGGTGCCTGGCCGGGAGCCGCGGTGGAGCGGGTCCATAGTGGCCACAAGAAAGAACCCAGAGCTGTGCCCACAGGAAGCCCTGGACAGGCAGTGGCCCTGTCCCATTGCCACACGGCTGAGCAGTGAGCCACCCCCCTGCATGTGGCCTGTGCACCTCCGTACTCTGAGCTCACAGCCACTCGGAAGGCGGTCCGGTTGCCACCCCTAACTTATAGGTGAGGGAAGAGGTTCAGAGAGGAGCCGTGACTTATCCCGGGTCCTGCAGCAGGCGAGTGTCACAACTACTAGTAGACCTTGCACCCAGGGCCTGCCCGAGCGCCTTTCCCTGCCCGTCATCCTGACCCCCCGGTGGGTGGCACTGGCCCTCCTCCCCCGGGGGCTGACGGGTGTCCTCACACAGCACTCACCGCGCTCCTGACCTAAGCATTCCACACGTGTCCTCTCAGAGCCTATGGAGTCCTATTCTCGTCCTCATTTTACACGGAGACACTGAGCTCAGCGAGGTAAAGCCGCTTGCCCAGTCACACAGCTCCGATACGGCTGAGCTGGGCTTGAACAGACCGTCAGAGTCTGTACTTCCAACCACCGCCCCGCATCCCGATGATGTGAGAGGTCCACGCCTCCATCCCAATTCCCCACACCCTGGTCTTGCCGCCCACCGTGCCCTGAAAGTCCTTTATCCAATCTCACTTGGCTCCTATGCTGCACAGCAAGTCCAGCTTCCACGCAGAGACCTCACTCCTGGCCTGACCTTTAACATCGCACCCCGGCCCGGTGCCAGCGTCCCTGTCCCCTCCCAGCCCCACCCCGATCCACTCACTTGAGCAGGTACTTGTTAAGGCGCGAGGAAGGTGCAAAGCCGCTGAGGCAGGCAGCCAGCAAGAGCCAGCCCCGCTCGGCATTGTGGGTCCTGGAGTTGCGCCACACCTGGTTGGCCAGTTGTGCCAAGATCTCATCCCGGAGTTCGGGCACTGCCAGCCCTTTCTGCACAATGTAGTTCCCGAAGACGTGCTCCTGGGCACCGTGCAGGTGGGGGTCACCCATGAAACGCAGGACCTGGGCCACAGACAGACTCCTGGGCCTCGGAACGTTGCTCCTGCCGGGTTCCCACCCCCATGCATCCCTCACACATCCTTCCCGTGCCCCTGTCCATATAAAAGTCCCCCATTACAATATAATAGCTCTATCCTACACCAAATGACCAGGCAGTTCACTCCAGCCCCGGGAAAAAGTCAGGATCCAACATCCATGCTGGCTTTCTCTCCTGCTCAGGAACCTTCTATAGCTCCCATCCCCGCCCAGCACCCCTGGCCTCCAACCCCATTCAGACTCCAGGGGCCATATATCCAGCCACATCCCCCCCATGGAGGTGTACTCCTCGCTCCATCGCCTTGGGATAAATCTGAGCTCCAGACCCCTCTTGCCTTTGCTCTCCGGATGGATTCTCTGTTCTAACCACATGGATTTCCTCTCCTCTCTGTGCCTCCTCCACAGCCGGGGCTGGGAGAGTCTGACTCCTCCTCTAGCTCAATGCCCCTCCTCCAGCAAGCTCTCAGCCTGAGCCAGGACGGGAGTAGGGGCGCCACCTGGCCTGCCAGCCGCCATGCCGCCCTGTGCACACTGGCGGTCACTAGCCAGGTGTGCCGTGCCTCCTCTCTCAGCCTAGGGAGCCCTTGAGGAGAGAACCTGGGAACGTCCTGTTGCCGGGACGATGGCTGGGAGGAGAAAAGCCCAGTCCCCAGAGCTCCATGCAGAGAGGTGGCCAGACCCCTGACAGAAACCTCCTCCAAGGAAGAGGCGTGGCTCAGGGCTTTGGCTAGTGGATGGGTCCGGAGGATGAGAGCCCCCTGGCCGGCCTCAAGCGCAGGAGCCACGGATTCCAAGGCGGCCCGGGCAGGCCCGTACCAGCTTGAAGATGCTCACGGCTTCCGCGTGGTGCTCTACTGGCAGCCCAGTGAGGGGCATCCTCAGGGGCACCGTCAGCATCCCGAAGGCAGGCTCCTGGGGGCACAGGCAGACACATGGGCACAGAGCCAGCACTGACGGCACATCTGGGTCCATTGCTCTGCGCCAGTTGAGAGCACAAATGCCCCTGCCCCCAGTGTGTAGATGGGGAGACTGAGGCTTGGAGGGGGCAGACGCCAGCCCTCAGTGAGTCGGTGGTAGAGACAGTCTCAGCCCCATCTAGGCCCTTTCTGAGGCACAGAAAGTTAAAGCAGGGATGACGAGCTGTGGCTCCACTGTCTGTTACATTTCTGACATCTTTCCAGACTGGCTGGCAAATGGCTGCTTCCCAAGCCCCTGGGGCCTCCCCTCCAGGTCCCCGTGGGCTCCAGGCTGCTCCTGACCCAGCAGCTGTAGGGGGAGTTCGTACCCGACCCTCAGGGCCCGGACAGGAACCGCCCCGAGCTGTGGACAGGATCAATTCTAATTGATCTGTGCCCATTGGCTGGGCTGCTTGGGCCCCTGCCAGCCCTTACCTTGAAGTGGCACCGGACAAACTTGGCCATGGGGTAGTTGTTGATATCCAGGGGCAGTGTGACACGGGGCTCGGCCTGGAGCCGGGGAGTCCGGACGGGGGCCACCCGGGGCATCTGGGCTGGCCTAAGGCCTGTGGAGAGAAGAAGGCATGAGGTGCCTGGCTCCCTTGCCCACCTGTGCCCACTCCCACCACACTTGCAGCACTGGTGTACCTGCCACTGCTCGCAAGAGCCCAGCCAGCTCTGCTGGCACCTCCAGGTGTCCCACAGCTACCACCTCCCGCTTGCTCAGCTCCTGGAGGGACAGCGTGGTGAGGGGAGGGCCTGCCACACCCCCACCTGCCGTCCTCCCCTCCTGTCCCCTCTGCCACCCAGACCCCGCACCCACCTCCTGCTCCCGTAGCCGCACCTCCTCCACCCGGAGCCTCCGCTCTGCCCTCAGCTGCAGGAGAGCAGGTGGTCAGGGCAGGGAATGGCGGGCAGAGGCCCTGGCAGGCCGAGCCAGCTCACACAGGGCGGCCAGCAGGGAAGCAAGGGGTCAGCTTGCCTGATTTCTGGAGGCGACTGCACCTCACAGATAGAGGGAGGCAGAGGGGTGGCCAGAGAAACAGGAGGGCAAGGAAGAGAGAGAGAGCAAGAAAGAGACAAGGCAAAGGGCAGAGGAGGAATCCTGGGAAAGGCAGACGGCTCGTCACCCACAGAACCTTCAGGAACAGCCGTGCAGTTCTTCCACACCCCCACCTGCCGTCCTCCCCTCCTGTCCCCTCTGCCACCCAGACCCCGCACCCACCTCCTGCTCCCGTAGCCGCACCTCCTCCACCCGGAGCCTCCGCTCTGCCCTCAGCTGCAGGAGAGCAGGTGGTCAGGGCAGGGAATGGCGGGCAGAGGCCCTGGCAGGCCGAGCCAGCTCACACAGGGCGGCCAGCAGGGAAGCAAGGGGTCAGCTTGCCTGATTTCTGGAGGCGACTGCACCTCACAGATAGAGGGAGGCAGAGGGGTGGCCAGAGAAACAGGAGGGCAAGGAAGAGAGAGAGAGCAAGAAAGAGACAAGGCAAAGGGCAGAGGAGGAATCCTGGGAAAGGCAGACGGCTCGTCACCCACAGAACCTTCAGGAACAGCCGTGCAGTTCTTTGGTGCTCGGCGTTACATTTGTCTGGTGTTGGTTTATGTGACAACAGGCCAAGGTTGGCATCAAGGTACGAGCAAACCATATTCAGTGCTGGTCCAGGTGCAAAATCTAATCGGACCCAATTACTGAAGACCCACAGTGAGCCCACACCAGGACGCCCTTCAGTGCAATATTCATTTCACCCTCTGCAGCCTCAGGGGGAGATGGGAGGTCAGGCTGGAGAGGGGCCGAGGTCACACAGCTAGCGAGTGGCAGAGCGGGGATTCGAACCCAAGACAGTCTCCTCCTGGGAGCTAAGTGCCCCCTCCCCATCTCTGCCACTCCCTGGACCCAGACAGGACAGGCCTGGCTCCGGGAGAAGGGCCAGGGGAAGGCCTGCACCTTGAGGTGGCGCCGGTGGCTCACGTATGTGTTCACTAAGGACCGGAACTTCACCAGACTCTTTCTCATCTGCTGATACCGTTGCCTGCGGGTAGGGAGGAAAGGAGTGTCGCGGTGGTGGTGGTGGTGGTGGGGTCATGGATAAACAAGGGGCAGAGATACCTGTGCCAGCCTGGCCTTGGTGCCACACTTCACTCTGGGGCCCTTTGGCACCAAGCAAAGGAGCTCGATGGAGGGCAAGAACGTGGCTAAGGTCTGAGCCCAGATTCAACCACTTGGACCACATAGATCCCATTAGGTTGGAATCCCAGGGTCCCTGAGATGCAGGGTGGGGTCCTTCTTGGCTGGATGGATTCCCACCCACCAGTTACAAGGGCCAGAGGGTGGGACGGAAGGGCATCCAAAAGCAGAAACACAGAGAACCTGATCATCCTGCCAGCAGAGGCTCCCACTCTCAGCTTGCATACCTCCAGGAACAGGGAGCTGACCACCTCAGTTCAGGCTTAGCCTCTCCCAAGCCTCGCCTAGGGCTCCCTAGTCCTGCCCTAGTGGCTGCACCTGGCCAGGTAGCCTCGGGCTCGGCTTTGCAGCAGGATGATCTTGCAGCGTAAGGAGCGGAAACGGCGCTGGATGAAGAAGCCACGGAGGCAGCGCTGCAGGGTGAGGGCTGCCAGGTTCCGGACGTGCTCCCGCATGCTCTCCAAGAGCTGGTGGAGGTGTTCCTTAAGGAAGAGCTGGGCAGAGGAGGCAGGTGCTGAGCCGGTAAGGGCCAGTGACTGGACTCAGGCCCTCCCTCTCCGGAAGTCCACGGAGACAGAACAGCCAGGGCAGCGGAGGGGTTGGGTTTGGAGAGATGGAAGCCAGCTGAGGGCGCATTAGGCAGCGGGAGCGGCCTGAGCAAGGTCCGGAGTGGGGTTGGCATTCCGTTCACCAACCTCCACTGGACTGCCGTGGGGACAGTCCTGAGCCCACGGGCTCGGTTCTGAAGCCCCTGAACCTGAGCCCTCCAGGGACTGCGTGTGGGTGGGACTCACCTTGCTGACGCCAACGCGGTACATGTTTGGCATGACTGTGCACAGGCGGCTCAGCACGGACACACACATGTCCCCACTGGCTGGCAGGTTGTGCTCAAGGGCCACTAGACAGCGGTACCTGCAGGGCCCAAATTCCGCCTGGGGCTGTGGGAGCTGCTGCCCCAGCTGCCCACCAGGCTGCCGTCACCATCCCCACCGTCTCCAGGAGGCCCCCCCGCAGGGGCTCCACTCAGAGTCTTCTAGTCAGAGGGCACTCCCTCCCTACTTCTAGGTGCCAGGACAGTGTGGAAAGGGATTCAGCAGAACAAGACCCCTTACTGCCATCTGCTGGAAGCTTGTCATAATCACGATTAAAAATGTTTCTCTTTGGAATCAACACAGTAAAACTGTGAAAAACTGCAAAACGACCAATACATATGCCAGACAACAGCTGGCATGTGGTCTGTGCACAACCCGAGCAGCTGTGCATGGCAAGCCCTGCTCTGCCCGGGCCTGCGGAGCGAAGGCGGGGGACTGGGCTACCTGTCCACGAACGCCTGGAAAGGCAGCCGCACCGGGAAGCCCTCCTTGCGGATCCGCACGGTCTCCAGCAGCCCGGAGTAGCGCAGCTGCGCCATGACCACATCTGCCTCAAAGAGGCCTGGCTCCTGTGGGGAGGACCCGCCATGTGCAAAGGGCACTGGCAACGCCAAGTCGCCGTGCTGGGCGGGCCGCGCGTGAGCATGGGGAGGGGGCTGCTCTCCGAGGACCTCGGCCATCACGCACCTTCTTGTGATTGGGCTTCAGGCAGCGCACGAACAAGGGGTTACACCTGGTCAAGGGCAGGGGAGGCAGCGTGAGGCCCCAGGGAAGGAGGTGCTTATCCCGGAGGGTGGAGGGTCGGAGGGTCGCCCGTGAGGCTAGGTCCCGCCCACCGGCCACACCCACCTCTCCATCTTTTCGATCAGATCCAGGAGCGACTGTTGGAACTTGGCTGCCACGGTGTGGGCCTTGTGGAGGCGGGTGATGGAGCTGCTCTTGCCCAGGCGTTGAGGGGCAGCCTGGGGGGCATGGCTGGAGAAGAGGCGGGCCACCACCTGGGCAGGCATGGGCAGCAGCCCAGGGCAGGAGTCAAAGCACCAAGAGGAAGAGGTAGGAACCAAGAGACAGACAAGGAGAGAAACGAAGAGGGAGAGAGAAAGCGAGAGAACAAAAGGAGTCAAGTCTCCAGACCAAGAAGGACCAGAGAACTAACCCAAGGGACCGGCCCCGGGGTCAGCTGACTTCTTTTTCTGGGGGACACATGGGCACTAACTGGGTGCATGGTCGTGAACCCTAGGATGACCGCAGGAGGAGGGTGCCCATTTGACAGATGAGGAAATGGAGTCCCAGAGCGGGGAGGTGGCAGAGAATACGGGACGGGAGAACCACTCACCAAGCAGATGGAGGTGGGGATGGGCCCAGGCTGGGCGGGCTGACCGGGAAGAGGCAGGGGAGAGACCTGGGGGCCAGCCAGGGGCGTAGCCCTTTATGGGGCGGGGCCAGGAACGGGAGAAAGTACAGGGCAAGGCAAGGCTGGGTGGGTGTGGGGTTAGGGTTGGGATGGAGCTACGGTACCTCCCCCTTTCTTGGCGGACAATGGCCTGGCTGTGGGCTGGGTGCTCTGGGGCAGGGCCAGGACCGGGGAGGGGAGGCTTGCTCACCCGTGTCCGGCTCCGAACAAATAGGTCCAGCACGTCCTGACGCACCTGGTCATGGTTCTTGTCCAGGAACTTGTGCACCTGGGAAGGGGGGTGGCCGGGCAGCGGGGGCTGAGCCCTTCCCCCATGCAGCCTGGGTGCATCAGCCGCCTACTACCGTCTTCTTCCTTCCTCGCTGCAGCCCTTGGGTGACGCTGGCCCTGCACCTCCAGCCCACTGTCTCCCTGTCTGTCCTGCAAGGGACTGGACCCCTCCCCCTGCTATGGTCCCCACCCCTCCTTTCCCCGACTCTCCCCACTCCCAGGACTGGCCCCCTTCGCATGACTAGCCCCAGTCTAGCCCCATCCTCAGTGGAGGACGCTGTCCTGTGCGCGTCCTGCAGATGAGGGAAATGCGGCCCAGATGGGGACAGAGGCTTAGAATCTTGGCCCAAGACAATGCCAGGGCAGGAATGTGCCCGAGATAAGAGCAATGAGAGTTACCCCGGTGATCTGCTACTGATAATAGCTCCTCTTCATCAAACCCACCCGAACCCTAGGCTTCTCACACCCATGAGATGGACACTGTTACTACCCCCATTTTCCAGGTGAGGAAACTGAGGCTCCGAGAGGTACCTCCAGGTGATTGGCCCAAGATTACACAGCCGAGGGTCAGCAGGGCCAGAACTGGAATCGGGTGGGAGTGTCTGGAGCCCATGTTGTGCTTCTGTGCCTCCAACATCAGGGCTCTGTGGCGCTGGAGGCCAGGAGGGCTGCCCGGGGTCTCACCTGGTAGGTGACTTTGCCTGCGTAGTGCTTGATGGTGAACTCGGGCAATGGCATCTTGGGTTTGGAGTAGAGCGGGTTGGCGCCATGGTGGTAATGGCACTTTTGCAGAAATGTGTGGTCTGTGGCCTGGGGGCAGGCAGGGTTCAGTGGGTGGGCAGGGGGCCTGGGCACCGTTCCTGGCCTAGTGGCAGATTCTCCAGCCCTGACTGATCTGCAGTGATCACTGGGGAGGAGGAACAAGTCACAGCTTCCCCCTGGCTGCCCACTGCCCTGGGCGGGAGGCCGGAGGGGATCTCTGCAGACAAGTGTGTCTGGTTAGCTCCCAGCTGCCTCCCCTCCAGCCCAGCTAACTTTGCACTCTCTTGTCCCACTGCCCAGAACACCCATCCCACCCTTGTGTTTTCCAGTCAGTATTTGAGGCCCAACCCCAAGGTCACCTCCTCCATGAAGCCTTCTATGATTCCCACTGGCTGGTGTAGCCCCTCGAGTGGACACCTGCAGCCCCCTATCCAGGTTGGCTGTCCTGAGCCCCGTCCCAGGCCAGAGCAGAGAGGAATGTAGGGCTCAGGCCTGATGAGGACGTGAGGCTCAGAGGCATGGAGCAGCCTGACCAGCCCACGCGGCGCCCAGGGCTCACCTGGGGAAAGCAGCACTGGTCATCCAGGATGCGCAGGATGCCGTAGGGCTTCAGCGAGATGAGGTTGATGCAGGGCTGATTGTCAGCGAAGGCCACCTCCCGCCAGTCGATCTGTTCGCGGAGGTACTCCTCCTGCAGGCAGCAGGGCTCAGCCTCCTACTCCTGCCCAGGTCCCCCGACTGTCTCCCCGGATGAATCCATCTGACAGGGCCTGGCCTGGGGCACCCGCTTGCACACCTCCTAGCACAGGGAGCTCACTTCCTAGCAGGGCCACATGAACCACTGCTGGGCCTTCTCCTCCCTCCACCTAGGACAGTTCTGTGGAGGGTGAAGAGGGTCCCCAAGCGGGCTCTTCCCTGGGCTCTTCCCCCGAACACCTTCCCCTCAAGAACACAGGCCTCTCATGCGCTGGTGAAGCTTCCCATGCCTTTCCCTCCATTTGGTCTCCTGACAGCCTCCGATTTGCCCTTAATGAGCCAGCATGTCCCGCTCGTCACTGAGGAGGCCCAGGGCACGCGAGGATGGGGGGGAGGGGGGAGAGAGGGTCAGACCGAGCCCTGCACACCTGCTCCTCCTGGAAGATGATCTTGTTGAAAAGGTACTGAAGGTTCTCGTTCGCATAGTTGATGCACAGCTGCTCGAAACTGTTGAAGCTCAGGTCCTGTGAGCAGGTGGTGAGGGCCTCAGCCCATCTGTCCCAGCTCAGGTGCAGTGCCCTCCCTGCCTTCTGTGGTCGCAGCTTCAGGAGCCTGTCCACAGGCCCTGCTCAGCACCCTCTGTGGCTGCCGCTGCGCACAGGCGGAAGGAAGCCTGGCGGGCTGGGCCCAGTGAGAGGCAGATCGGCCGTGGTTAAAGGCCCAGCCTCTGCACCCTGGCCAGTGTGGCCCAGTGGATAGAGTGTCAGCCTGCCAACTAAAGGGTCCCGGGTTCGATTCTGATCAGGGGCACATGCCCGGGTTGTGGCCTTGATCCCCAGTGGGGGGCGTGCAGGAGGCAGCTGGTCAATGATTCTCTCTCATCATTGGTGTTTCTCTCTCTCTCTCCCTCTCCCTTCCTCTCTGAAATCAATAAAATTATTTAAAGAAATAAAGGCCCAGGCTTTGGAACCTTCTTCCAGGTTCCAATCTTTCTAACCATGTGCCTTGGACAAGCCCCCTGTACCTCAGTTTCCCCATCTGTAAAACAAGGATAATGACAAGCCCACATCGTAAGGTGGTTGTAAGGATTAAGTCATCGGTAAACAGAACACACTTGGAACAGCCGCTGGCACACAACAGGTGCTGCGTGAGCACTCGCCAGCACGTTTCCTTCTAGGGTCTTGCCTGTCTCACCCCAACCCCCCACTGTGCACTCAGCACAGCGGCGCCCCTCCCGCCCCTGCAGGTGACTTCCAGCTCCCCAGACCCAGGCCCCCACACCGCGGGCCACTCCCCCGCCTCCCTGGTTCCTGAGGAGATAGCTCAGCATGTCTCCCCTTCGAGGAAGACCTCCCTGGCCCCTGTCCGCTAAGGTTTTCTCTGGCTCCACCAGCACCAGGCTGACTCTGTTACGGCTCTGACCACATGGGTCTGTCGATTTCTGTCCCCCGTGCCCACCCAGTGCCTCCAAGGGCAGAGCCCAGGTCTGGTCCTTTCCAGGGTCCCTATGTTGCCCAGCTCACAACCTGGCACCCACGGGCCTGTGGGTGAGGGAAGGACATGGTAGAGGACGAGGGAGATAATAGTAAGGGGGGCCCTGAACGAAGAATGGCTGTGCTCTGGGCAGAGGTGAGACATGAAGCCTTACGCCCCTCCCCTCACCCCCTCAGGAGCCCCACCTCGAAGCCATAGATATCCAAGATGGCGATGGACAGTGCGTCCTGCTGGGGGGACACCAGCGCGTTGACCCTGGTGATGAGCCACCCGAACAGCAGCGCATACAAGACCTTGGCGATGGCATCCCTGGAGCAGAGATGGTGATGGGGGTGGGCACTGTGGGGGCCTAGCCACCGGGAGCTCAGGGAGGGAGGGTGCAGCCTCACCTGGCATCCACGGCACTCTCCACAGTCAGGGGGGTGAAGATCTTCTCTCGGATTGTCTCCTGGGGAGGAACATGGCCCCTGAGCGACAGCAGGCTGGCCACTGCCTCCAGGAAGTCCTCCGAGGATTGGGGTTTGGGTGGGGAATGGAAATGGAGTGACTGGTCTGAGGTCGACAGTAGGCCAGAGGTTGAAACATAAGGCCCTCGACCCCCCTCCTGCCTGGCTGTGCTGGTCGGGGTGGGGGCTACTGGTCCAGCGGGAGAGGCAGAGACCAGCCTTGGGAGGGGAAGGAGGCCCAGGGGCTGGGGGAGGCCAGAGGAGGCACCAGCTCGGCCAGGGGTCAGGAACAGCTAGCTTCCCGGAGGCGGACGCTGTGCCAGGTCTCCGGGCAGAGGAAACAGCCAATGCAAAGGCCTGGAGACTGGGCATCGAATGCCTGTGGGTCTGAGGTTAACCCCTCCAGGCCTGGCTCGGAAGAGGGATGGACAGGGAGGGGAGGGAAGGGGAGAGAGGGCCCACGGAGGGGCACAAAGCAGCGGTGTGCAGGCGCTGGCGGGAGGCCTGGGCAGACCCCCAGGCCCGAGACTCACGGTCACTTTGAAGGTGATGGCCTTCTGGAGCCCCTCAGGGGAGATCTGCAGCAGCTCGGCCACGGCCTGGATCTCCCGGGCGCTCACCACCGAGGCCACCTCCTGTGCGTCTGTCTGTGAAACACCCACGGGACTGTATTTTGAGCTAAACAAGTAGATTTTAAAGTCCATATAAAAAAACATAAACAAGCTAGAAGAGCCAGGAAAATTCTGAAATAGGAGTGCAGGGGGACCTAGGAGATGGTTAAACGTATTTCAAAGTTACGATAATTAAAACAGGTAACAGACATACAGCATGTAAGCAGATTAATGAAGCACAATAGGAGGTCTGGAATTCAGCATAAATACACATAGGAATTTAGTATATGACAAATATTTACTTTTCAAGTGGTGGAGTTAGTATAATTAAGTAATTGCCTGGGAAAAAAAGGAAATTGGATGCCTGCCTCATACCTTACTAAGAGAAATTCCTGATGCATCAAAGAGTTAAATGTTAAAAAAACAAACTGTGAAAGCCATAAAGGATCTTGAAAAAAGTATGGGCAAAACTTATAATTTAAGAGAGACAGGTCTCTTTAAAAATGATTTTAAAAACTCTAAAATTTATGCAAGAAAAGATTAATGGAATTCCTGAAAATAATTTTAAAAATCTGAAATGCCAAAGCAAACAAACAACAACCACGAAAAACAAAACAAAACACCAAGATACCTGTAAATAAAGTCAAAATATATATGATTAACCGGAAGACATATTTACAATTCACACCAAAGACAAAGGCTTATTTCCTTAACATATGTACATCATACATACATCAATAATAAAAAGATGGTCTGGCCGCTGTGGCTCAGTGGTTGAGCATCGACCTATGAACCAGGAGGTTACTGTTTGATTCCTGGTCAGGGCACATGCCCGGGTTGCGGGCTCAATCCCCCGTAGGGGGCGTGCAGGAGGCAGCTGATCAATGATTCTCATCATTGATGTTTCTATCCCTCTCCCTTCCTCTCTCTAAAGTCAATAAAAATCTATTAAAATAATAATAAAAAGACGAACAACCTCAAAGGTAGGAGAAAAGAGCGATTGGTATGTGTTGGTGCCGCCTGAAAGGCAGATACAGACGCGTTCTGTCCCCCAGAGCACTCCTCGGAAAGACGCCTGTGCCCAAGGGAGCCGGGATGGCGGCTGGGACCTCCTCTCACCTCATACTTCTCAAAGTAGACGTTGCCCAGGTGCAGGATGGAGGCCAGGATGCGGAAGATGCTGTCCTGGTCCTCCCCGCTGAAGCCCAGCACCTCCATGGCAGCGAGGAGCCGGCGGAAGTCATCTGCGTCACTCTTCCCCGAGATCTCACAGTTCCCACCCTAGGCGAGGGCAGGGCCAGGGGTCAGGGACCCTGGGTGGCGCCAGGAGCCCTGACTGTCCCTGCTCTGTCTGCACCTGCAACATGGCCCATGCGCTCACTCAGCACTTTCGTTCCCACGGGCCAGGAGTCTCTGAGCGGGCACTGTGCTAAGTGCTTTGCATACATTTCCTTCCTTTAATCCTCACCACGTCCCTGGCAGTGATACTGTGCTATCCCCATTTTACAGATGAGGAAACTGAGGCACTAGAGGGGAAGTATAGTAGCTCCAGGCTACTTATTTCTGTTGTAGTCTCCAGAACAACGAAGAATCATGTAGGCCTCCTCTACCCTAGATTGATCCCTGTCCACGTGCCATGATGAGACACCTCACATCCAAACTTGCCCTCCCAAACCTCCATCATCTTTGCTGGACACCAGGACACCAGGACTTGGCTCTTTCAGCCCCTGGGGTGATGAGGGGGGACCAGGCCTGGGGAGCCTCGGAGGCCTGCCGGTGCTCACCTGGTTCAGGTAGTAGTAGGTCTCAGCCTCCTGCAGGCTGAAGGCCTGCCGGAGCTGGGCAGGCAGCCCAGCCAGCAGCTCGTAGAAGATGTGGTAGTTCCTCTCGTTTTTGGCCTGCAGAGTGGGTGTGTGAGTGCCGAGAGGGGAGCCGCCCACCTAGGCGACCCCCCCACACATACAGGCCAGGTGTGCCCACCAATATAAATACACACCCAGGCCTGCGGGTGGGGCCTGCCCCTCTGTGCTGAGTGAGCTCCCAGCCTGGCTCTGCCTGGGAGCAGGGAGGGGTGGAGAAGCCCGGGGGTGGTGGTGGGGAGGGGCCCTGGGACACAGCGAGGACAAGGCAGACAGAAGTCCCTGGCCTCATGGACCCACTGCCAGCTGGGAGACAGATACTCTATAAAACCTGTCAGGTGGTGAGGAGCGCTCCGGGAGACAGCGCAGTGAAGGGATGGGAGCTCGCTGTGAAAGGGGAGGAGGTGGGGGCGGCCACACAGGTGTGGGGAGAGCGCTCCGGGAGAAGGAGCAGTCAGTGCAAGGGGCCTGGCAGGGTCGGGCCTGGTGTGCTTCAGGGACAGGGAAGGGCCTATGTGGCTGCAGGGCATGGGGGCGGGGGGGCTCAGTCACAGGCTCACACATACACATGCATTTGTTCATCAATTCACCCTTTACCCAGCCTGGCCACACACACACACCCCCTGTCCCACGCCCCAGCACACAAGGGCCGTGGAGGGCCTGGCCCACCTGAAACACAATCCTGGATTTCTCGAGCAGGTACTGGGAGGTTATGGCACCAGAGATCACGCCCCTGTGTGGGGAGCATGCGCAGCTCAAGCCCGGCAGTCAGTGGCAGGGCGACGGGGCTGCTGTTGGCTCCGCGGGCTGTGCCAGGACATGGGGTGCACGGCAGGGTCTCTGGGGGCTCCTCCACGTCCCACTCACCCTTCCAGAAAGATCTCCACAAACTTCCCGAAGCGGCTGGAATTGTCATTCCTCACAGTTTTGGCGTTACCGAAGGACTCCAAGAGGGGTGTGGCCTCCAGGATCTAGACCCCAGAAGAGGTGGGTATCATTCTGGCCGCCTAGAGCGAGGAGCATGGCTGGGGCCACCCCAGGACTTCCCAGACACAGACCTCCCCAAACACCCCGCTGGTGAGGGGCGACCAGAGGTGGGCTCCCTAGAGAACCCCAGGGTCTTCCCAGTCTCCCTCAATGCTCCCACCTCATGCGGCCCAGACCCTACACACAGACCCAGCTCCCCTCTCCCAGCCCCGGCCTCCCATGAGGCAGCCCTGGCCAGGACAGGTGTGAGACACGGCTTCTGACCAACCCTGCTATCGCACACAAGTGCGCACACATGCACACCCACAGGTGCATGTCACAGAGGGTGGAGCATGTACACACACACCCACACACTCCAAATACCTTTATCTTCAGGAGCAGTCAGTGGGGAGGAGGAGGCGAAAGGAACAAGAACAGAAGAAGGTCACCCGTAGGACTGACCACCACTCCCCTCACAACACAGGGGCCTCCGGCCACAGCGGGCCTGGAAGAACCCTTTGGGCCCCTGTGGCAGCCAGAAGAGCCTCCAGGTAAGAGTACAGTCATGAACCCCAGAGACCCCCCGGGGTCTGGTCTTGGGGACTGCAGTGTAGCTCCAGATGTGGGTGTCTGCTGGGCCTACGGCCAGAAGGTTCTGGGATGTCCTCACCCCCTCCCCTCACAGCCATGGGTCACCTGGGTTCCTGGAAGAGTCTCCTCCCTGATCCTGCCTGTGCTCCCTCCAGGGGTCGTTTGAAAACCTGCATAGGTCTCCTTCTCCCTCAGGCTCAAAGCCAAGTCCTCACAGTGATCTCCAAGACCCTACACAGCCCAACCTCCGCTGGCCTCATCTCCCCTCCCTTGCTCTGCCCAGCACCTGGCCCTCCTGACTGCGCCCTCAACACTCAGGCACACTCCTGCCACTGAGCACGGGAATTCTCCCTCTGTAGCTCTTAGCACCATTGGCAAATTCTCTCATTTCTCTGTATCTTGTCTCCCGCACTAAAATTTCAGCTTCCATGGGGAAAGTGTGAGTCCCTCCATCTGGCCACTCCCATAGTCCCGCTTAGTCTAGGAAATATTGTGCCCATTGTACAGAGCAGTAGACTGAGGCCCAGAGAGGAGCAGGGGCCAGCCTGGGGTTGCTCAGTGAGTCAGGGTCTGCCTGGGCTGCTGCCTGTGCTACCCCTTAGTCTGGGAGTTCCCTGAGGGCACTTGAGGGTGGGTCGGCTGCTTTTCTGTTCCTAGTGCCCACTGCAGGGCTGGGGCACATGGCCAGCGGCCAGGGGCAAGGACAGGTAAATCAGGTGGGTAAACATCTGGCCATGTGGTGCCATCAGCCCAGCCCCCAGGTGGGGTGGTGCCTGTGGTTTGGGGTGCAGAGGATCCAGCCAGTCCCCATCTTGGGGTTTCCATGTCATATTCTCAGCCCTGTGGCCCAGGCCTCAGCCAGAGAAGCCTCAGCATGACAGGGTCCAGTCAGAACACGTGGCAAAATCTGCCCAACAAGAGACAGGCCTGAGACTTTTTCTGGCTTGTTGGGAGGTGTGGGTTGAGGTTCATGGCACCATCTTGCTGTCCAATGGGAGACTGGTTGAGGATGACACCCATAACTGGGGGAGGGTGGAGCCAGGACAGGGGACATTGGTTAAGACCTTGGATTCTGCGTGCCTGAAGAAATAATAGCAGAAAACTTCCCTAATCTGGTGAAGGAAAAAGTCACACAAGTTCAGGAGGCACAGAGAGTCCCAAGCAAGAAGAACCCAAACAGGCCCAGGCCCAGGCCCAGCCACATCATAATTAAAATGCCAAAAATTAAAGACAAAGAGAGAATCTTAAAGGCGGCAAGAAAAAAGCAAACTGTTACCTACAAAGGAGCTCCCTTAAGGCTGTCATCTGATTTCTCATCAGAAAGTCTACAGGCCAGAAGGGAATGGCATGACATACTCAAGGTAATGGGAAGCAAGGATCTAAAACCAAGATTACTATATCCAGCAAGGCTATCACTCAAAATAAAAAAAAGGTTCCCAAAAAAAAAAAAAAAAAAAAAAAAAAAGACTAAAGGAGTTCATCACCACTAAGACAGTATTACAAGCAACGCTAAAGGGACTGCTGTAATGAGAAGAAGAGAGAGAGAAACCTAGGCATAAGGAATTAAGATGGCAATAAACTAGCTATCAGTAATAACCCTAAATGTAAATGGATTCAATGTCCCAATCAAAAAGCATAGGGTAGCTGAATGGATACAAAAACATGACCTAACTGTATGCTGTCTACAAGAGACCCACCTCAGAACAAAAGACACACACAGGATGAGAGTGAAAGGATGGAAAAAATGTTCCATGCAAATGGAAAATTAAAAAAAGCTGGAGTAGCAATCATATCCGATAAAATACTTTAAAATGAAGGCCATCACAAGAGACAACAAAGGTCACTAGTAATAGTAAAGGGATCAATCCAACAAGAGGATATAACCCTAGTAAACGTATATGCACCCAATATAGGAGCACTTAAATATATTAACAGAGAGGAAGGGAGAGAGATAGAAAGTTAGAAACATCGATGAGAGAGAAACATCGATCAGCTGCCTCCTGCACATCTCCTACTGGGGATGTGCCCGCAACCCAGGTACATGCCCCTGACCGGAATCGAACCTGGGACCTTTCAGTCCGCAGGCTGACGCTCTATCCACTGAGCCAAACCGGTTTCGGCCTTAAATATATTAAAACAAAACAAACAAACAGAAAAACTTCTAGAGGACTTTAACAGAGAGATCGACAACAATACAGCCATAGTAGGGGACTTTAACACCCCTCTGACTTCACTGAATAGATCTTCCAGACAAAAAATTAACAAGGAAACAGTGACTCTAAAGAACACACTGGATCAGATGGATTTAATTGACATTTATTGAACATTTCACCCCAAAGTAGCAGAATATACATTCTTCTCAAGTGCACATGGGTCATTCACAAAGATAGACCACATGTTATGACACAAAACAAGTCTCTACAAGTTCAAGAAGATTGAAATCATATCAAGCATCTTCTCAGACCACAATGGAATGAAATTAAAAATCAACTACAATAAAAACATCCAAACACATGGAGGCTAAACAATGAATGGGTTATCAACGAGATCAAGAAAGAAATAACAAACTTTCTGGAAACAAATGAAAATGAACACACAACAACCCCAAATCTCTGGGACACAGCACAAGCAGTCCTGAGAGAGAAGTTCATAGCACCACAGGCCTACCTCAAAAAACAAGAAAAATTTACAATAAACTATTTAACCCTACAGTTTAAAGAACTAGAATGAGAACAACAAGAAAAGCTCAGAGTAAGTAGAGGGAAGGAAATAATAAAGATTAGAGCAGAAATAAATGGCAGAGACTAAAAAAGTAATAATAATAAATGAAACCAAGACCAGGTTCTTTGAAAGGATAAACAAAACTGATGAACCTTTAGCCAGACTCATCAAGAAACAAAGAGAGAGGACCCAAATAAATAAAATCAGAAACGAAAGTGGAGAAGTAACCACTGACACCACAGAAATACAAAAGATTGTAAGAAAATACTATGAACAACTTATATGCCAACAAGCTGGACAATGTGGATGAAATGGACAAATTCCTAGAAAAATACAATCTCCCAAAACTGAATCAGGAAGAATCAGAGAACCTGAATAAGCCAATAACTGATGAAATAGAAGCAGTAATCAAAAAACTCCCAGCAAACAAAAACCCGGGTTCAGACAGCTTCACAGGGGAGTTTTACCAAACATTCAAAGAAGAGCTAACACCTATACTCCTCAAACTATTTCAGAAAATCCAAGAGGAAGGAACACTCCCAAGCTCTTTTTCTGAGGCCCACATTATCCTGCTTCCAAAACCAGGTAAAGACACTACAAAGAAAGAGAATTACAGGCCAATATTCCTGATGAACATAGATGCTAAAATCCTCAACAAATATTAGCAAATCACATCCAGCAACATATTAAAAAGATCATACACCATGACCAAGTGGGATTTATTCCAGGGATGCAAGGCTGGTACATATTCGCAAATCAATTAATGTGATAAATCACATAAACAAATTGAAAGACAAAAATTATATGATCATATCAATAGATGCAGAAAACGCATTTGACAAAATCCAACACCCATTTTTGATTAAAAAAAAAACTCTCAGCAAAGTGGGAATAGAGGGAGAATATCTCAACATGATAAAAGCAATGTAGCAGGATACAAAATCAACACCCAAAAATCAATGGCTTTTTTATGCACCAATAATGAATTCTCAGAAAGAGAAACTAAACAAACAATCCCATTTACCATTGCAACAACAACAATAAAATAAGATACTTAGGAAAAAATTTAACCAAGGAGATAAAAGACTTGTACTAAGAAAACTACAGGATGTTGAAAAAAGAGATAGAGGAATATATAACAAGTGCAAGAATATACCGTGTTCATGGATGGTAGAATTAACATCATTAAAATTAACATCCATATTACCCAAGGCAATCTACAGATTCAATGAAATCCCTATTAAAATGCCAACATCATATTTCACAGATCTAGAACAAATACTCCAAAAATTTATATGGAACCAAAAAAGACCTGAATAGCTGCAGCAATCTTGTGACAAAGTTGGAGGAATCACAATACCAGATATCAAGTTATACTACAAAGCCACTGTAATCAAAACAGCCTGGTACTGGCACAAGAATAGGCATATAGATCAATGGAACAGAACAGAGACCCCAGAAATCGACCCAAGCCATTATGCTCAATTAATATTTGACAAAGGAGGCAAAAGCATACAATGGAGTCAAAACAGTCTCTTCAATAAATGGTGTTGGGAAAATTGGGCAGATACATGCA